TCAGGGTACCCGAACTCGATTGTGTGTACGGCGTCACGGGGGGGGGGGGAATATATGTTTTTTATAACAACAGATCGAGTCCGGGACATTGTCACTCAGCGCTCATGACTACACAAAGACTGCCGCTTTGCGCGCTAGAGGGGGAGGTAAACAATAAAGGAAAACAGGAAGGGAGGAAAGAAAAAACGAAGAAACGATCCAAAAGGGCATGGAATTGGCCAATCTCCATCAACGACCGTCGCTAAGGGGAACCAGGAGGCCAGAGCTGGCCGCCCTCCTCCCACCCGGCCAGGCTGAGCATCGCCCTCTCGGCAAAGAAACATAAGTATTAAAATGGACTATTGATGTGTCCCCCAGGCCCCAGCTCTGATAAAGTTCATGTTGAAATAAAAAAAATGGCAAGACACAGTTACGTTTTTGATTATTTTTTTTTTATCTGTTTTATTATACGCTCAGGCTGTATACTCTCGGTGGTCGCAATCAAATTTAACCATCAAGATCAATGGATCGCATGAACGTACATGTGCCTCATTCCTGCTCATATCTTTTGAGTCAGAAAGTTTTAATTAAAGGCACATACTGTGCTGCAACTGGTAGTTTTCTGTGACGGGTCAGTTAATTAAAAATCCATACTTTTTCTTGACACTAATACTGATGGTGAGTGCCTGTACGTGCATGATATGATTGAACAGGATCAGGCATAACTATAGCCTAGTTCCAAGGAATCTACCCACCCCGCGTTGGTGAAATACTGGGTAATGCAAATAAAAAGGCTCTTAGAAATAAAGAGGGTGCACTGAGAAGAAACAGAGGATTTATGTTACCCCAGCCTTAGACTGTCCCTCCAATTCCCTAATACGGGCTCAAAGGGCTGACCCAACTGCGGCGCGATCCGTTTGCTTTTGTCTGCATGATGTAGGCCTTTGCTTACGTGTGGATGCAGTGAACAACTCAAAGCCTCATCGAAAACAGTTTAAATGTGATGTATTAACATCAGGCAGCTCGAAACCTTAGTTCTTGGCTTAAGTGTGGCCTGAAATGATTGGATTAAATTACTATTACAGGATAAGCAAATTGAATCCAGATATTGGCCGTGTGTTTCGACCAGTAGAAAAAATCTCTTCTAAGCTTATGTGAGCAGAAAAGTGAGGCCATCACTTTCAACTTCTCCACTAATACATATCCGCACACTGGCAATCCGGCCCTTAAAGAAACACCCATGGGAGACTTTGAGACGCTTGGTGGCGACAAACACACCAGTCCTTTCTTACCAGTTCTGAGCATGCGTGTGTTGTTCAGAGCGTGCATGCTCACATAGTTCTGAGCACGCGCACTACCTTGAAAAGGACTGGTATGTCTGCTGCCACCCTAGCGTCTCAGACGCATGAAGGAAATGGCCATTTTTCTCCAAATAACTCCACGATGACATCTCGGTAGGCCTAAAGAGATAGCCTTCGAACTGATGAAGTGGAAAATATGCGTATCCAAACAGCAAGTTCATCTGAATAACTGAAACTTTATCATTATAAGAAGTGGTCTCTATTGATTCACAGATNAGAATGAGAAAAGATCAAAACTTAATAAAAAAATAAGAAAAAAAACCCAGAAAATATAAATAATGAAAAGATGAATTTAAAAAAAGGAGAAGAAAAATGAAAACAAAAGAGAAATCTACGACGAAAATGACAGAACAAACCAGATTTATTCTTTTCAAAGAAGTGAAAAAACAAGCAATCTCACAAAACAAATTGTATTCTTGTAAAATAACCAACCTACAGTGTACTACGAACGTTGGGGGCATGCACAGTGCTTTGGCCTGGCCTGCCCTGCGACGCTACCATACATGTACCATGCTTTATGATCATGTAAAACATACAGGCAGAAGAGCGTTACGCTCGCACATCACCGTGGCGTACATGTACGCTACATGCAAGCACGTGCGCACATGCACTGTACGTATACTATTCTATTTATCTTTCAGACATTATTTGGCCTGCCTTGTTTCAAATTAATGTCCAAATAAAAAACAAACTGAATGGAAAAGGTCAGCATTAGAATCATAGTTTAATTTAATTCATATCAACATGGAATATGAAAATATAAAGAAGAAAACAGCAGTTTAACAGAAAAATACATGTAGCAGTAAATTGTTTGATTTAGACAAGTAAGTTCCATGGGGTCCGCGTATCATCATAATTTTTTTGATAAATACACTGTACGTGCACAAGGGTTGTCATTAATTTTGTGTGTTTGGAGTCGTTTTTACCAGAAATTTTAAACCCCATCTGGGGAGATAAGGATCTCTCTTTTGTTGCTGGCACCACTTAAATGTAACCTCATAACTTTGATCTTTCATACATCAGCATTCAGGTTTGCCCGTTGTTGAAAGTATCATGTTCATTGATAAATAACACCCTAACTCTACCAGGACCCAAGATTCACTTATCTCTCTGAGGGAGCGCTGTGCCTAAGTGATGATATCCACTTGAGTAAGGTTTACTCCTTTTTTTGCTCTATCAAGATTTTCATAACTTCAATGGGAGCATGCAACATAGGTGGGGATCTAATGATATCTCCATATACATACATCATGCGTATGCCTTTGGACTACAACCATATTGAGTCTATGAATTGACAAGATTAAGGACCCATATAATTGTTGACAACATTGTAAATAACTTTGATTTCTTGAAAGTTACCATCAATAATTGTGATGCTTGTGGGCTTGTGAGGTAGCCAATGAAATATCAAGTAGCCTACTTCCTTCACTGCAGTAAAGCTGGGCTAGTACCACTTGTCCAGGGTCCATGTACTTGTGAGGGAATGGGCCCATGAAGGCCATCATGTTTTAAGGGGGAGTTTCAGAAAAAAAAACCAACAAGTTTGCAGCCCTGTACACTGAGAATCCTGCTGCTCCTAGCTCTGCTGTATACATGTACGTTTTCCTTCACCCATTTTCTCATGCATCCAGGTGGTAAGGAACCCTCTAAATAATTTCAAGGCAGTTAGATGGCCCAGTCATGGCATAAGTAAACAGAGTAGGCTTGAGCAGCTCAATAAGCTACAAGATGTCACAGGATCACATTGATTTGTTTTGGGGCTGTTCAACTTTGAAATCAGTGTACTTTATTTAATCAACCCCACATGACAGCAATTCCATATGGCTTGTTGTAGACTGCTCAGAGTCACATGTAGTCACGGCATTTCATCCGTGAAACCACTGTTGTCTCACCGTAAGGCACACTGCTTCATCAACTTCTGCCAATTTAACATTATGAAAAATGTGGGCATCATTAGGATATACATGTACATCAATGTTTGGCTGAAAGATTTTTTAAAAGTCCCTCCATGCCATCCAAATATAATTTAGAGACAGAATAACGAAAGCTTTCAAAACGTGCATAAGTCATGCAAACCAGAAATTAAAAGTAAGATATGATACCATAAGTGAAAGTCAAAGGGGAACATTAATATTTCTAAACCACGGACCAATGAAAATTACCTTACAAACAGGCATTTTTACTTTAATCATATTTTTTCAATTACATAATCGTGGAAACTTTTCACATATATGTCAAGATTGTCATGAAGCAAATGAGGAATTAGAAGAAAACAAATGTGGTCTCTTACATCACCTTGTGTGCTAATTGTGTCCTACCAACCCCTACCACTCCATCATCATGCTACTAAGGAAATGCAAAGACTTTGTAAAATTTTAACGATGGAAATATTCCACCATTGGCGCGGCGTGTTTGACGAGCAAAGTTCAGCGAACAAACACGCGCAGCACAGAGCTTCGCACACCCCCAACGTTAAGAGTTGGTCTGTCTTTTTACAAAAATTTTATTTTGCGAGTTACAATCTTGTTTTGCGAGTTAAATGTTTGTTTTGCTACTTACAATTCTTTTTGCTTCTTTTCAAACAATAATAGCAGTTTGTATTGTTGTTTTAGTAGAAGATTTCTCTTTCATTTTCATTAAAAGTGTTTTCTACTCTTTTTTACTTCTTTTTCTACTTTATTTTTTCATTTATCTGTTGATTTTTCAATGTTTCTATTTTCTGGCTGATTCTCATTTCTTTCTGTTTCCATTTCTTATTCCTTTCCTACATGTATTTTATTATTTTTTCTGCTTTCAATTTTTTCATTTTATTTTTGTTAATGATTTCATTTGATTTTTCGGTTTTTTATTTTTAACTATTTTCCTCAATTTTTTCGTCATTGTTCTTAATTTCAGTTCTTTCTTTTTGTTCATTTTGAAAATAGTTCTTTATTTTCTTTTGTTAATTTTTAAAAATAAGTTTTTTTGTGTTGTCTTTTTTGCCCCGATGGCCACCCATACCCTCGTAAGAAATTCACACATACAGACCTGTACACAGTCCTACAACCAAAAAGTACTGTATTCCTTTTTTAAGAGAAAATAAGGAAAGAGTTCCATATACATGTATGGACGGCAATAATTATTCCCTACAGCGACCAATTAGACCTCAGAGAGCAAAACATGTCCAGAGAGGTTCAATTTAGGAGAGAATACCTAGTCATTTACTCACATGACTTACTAACACTGAATTTTTCAGACCAATCTCAACCAACTTGCTTTATGCGAAGGGTGTCAAGTAGCATCCATATTTGGAACTCTTTCCTAATTTTGCATTATTTCAAAAAGCATCTGAAATGAATAGCACTATTAAAGTTCAATAGTACTGACTGGAATGATATATACGACACCAACAGGACGTGCGACATGCGCAGCCCAAGCTGTGTAGCTGTGGCATAAATTATTATGATAATAAACAAGGTTCCACCTGCGGTACGAACATGACGAACATGTACCCCGCCTTCGAGAATTGTATAGGCCTAAGCTTTATAATTGCAAATACTACATGGGTGATTTACATAATGGTAGAATGGCAAAATCAACCATGCAGTATTTCCGATAAGGCTTATAGGCCTAGTCAGCAAAGCATCCAGCGGAAGGCCCCAGGATGTCATACATGACCAGATGACATCATACACAGATACAGCACACCAACTGTATTACTAGTATAAGGCCTATAGGTTTGCGCCTTGCGTGGCGTGGGGAGATTTACGCAAATTAGACTTTGTAGAACTGAAATGCGGAGCTACATGTAGGTCATTGGTTCACCACTCGTCCACCCTGTGATGCACACAAAGTGTACAGCATGGTGCAATCGTCGTCAGATAAAGCATGTACATACATGTACATGTATGATGTAGGCCTAGCTAGGCCCACATAAAAATTGTCAAGGACAAGAGACTAGCGGCTGAAGGCGGAGGTAGGAAAAACCCAAAACGGGACAGGGACGCACAAATGTAAACATTGTAACTCAACTACTAACAAGCTTAAGCTGGAAACATTTATCCTCAATGTGACCATAAACCAGGAGGAGAAAGACGCAGCTTACCTGTACAATTTCGCTTCCGCTGAATGATAGGCTACCTAGCATATAATGTATGCGCGGGCCGACATGTCTGTTGTACTGCCGGACCACGTACATGTACATGTACAGTACATGGACATGTGTACTAAGTATCGGTGCTACATGTACATGTACTTTTGCACGAGATCGCGCGTTAACTTCAAAAAGCGCGCCCTCTGTACACATTGGCTGAGGTCGAGTGGGGGGGGGCTTGTTCACCAACAGCACGATAATTGTATGTTGTTCGCGTGGTAGGGGTCGGCCGCTCGAACGCTGGTGAAGGGCACTATACATGTATACATGTGCGTTCTTCTAGAATTAATAATATTCGGATAACTGGGCTAAAATTATTCTTCCCCATAAAAAAAGAAACATTGAATTCTGTGTCATGCACAAAACTTATGAATGATAATTTTTGCAAAACTTTCCATTGTCTCTGGGTTTGTAATAAGCCATTGTCGTTATAGTTTTTTGCAGCTGTTTAAAAATAAAATGTCACACGTTTTTCAGCGCGTTCGAGTACATCCCTGACGAAGAGGTACGAGGTGTGTGAACTGGGATCCTCATCAGAAAACATTGTTCTCGCAACTCGAGCGCAAAAACAACTTGAAGAAACCCGAGTCAAGAACAGGGCACCCGAACTCGATTGTGTGTACGGCGTCACGGGGGGGGGTGGAATATATGTTTTTTATAACAACAGATCGAGTCTGGGACGTTGTCACTCAGCGCTCATGACTACACAAAGACTGCCGCTATGCGCGCTAGAGGAGGAGATAAACAATAAAGGAAAACAGGAAGGGAGGAAAGAAAAACGAAGAAAGGATCCAAAAGGGGATGGAAATGGCCAATCTCCATCAATCGGGAGGCCACAGGTGGCCGCCCTCCTCCCACCCGGCCAGGCTGAGCATCGCCCTCTTGGCAAAGAAACATAAGTATTAAAATGGACTACTGATGTGTCCCCCAGGCCCCAGCTCTGATAAAGTTCAAGTTGAAATAAGAAAAATGGCAAGACACAGTTACGTTTTTGATTATTTTTTGTATCTGTTTTATTATACGTTCAGGCTGTATACTCTCGGTGGTCGCAATCGAATTTAATCATCAAGACCAATGAATCGATCGCATGAATGTACATATGCCTCATTTCTGCTCATATCTTTTGAGTCAAAAAGTTTTAATTAATGGCACATACTGTGCTGCAACTAGTAGTTTTCTGTGACGGGTCAGTTAATTAAAAATCCATACTTTTTCTTGACACTAATACTGATGATAATGAGTGCCTCATCGAAAACAGTTTAAATGTGATGTATTAACATCAGGCAGCCCGAAACCTTAGTCCTTGGCTTAAGTGTGGCCTGAAATGATTGGATTAAATTACTATATTACAGGATAAGCAAATTGAATCCAGATATTGACCGTGTGTTTCGACCAGTAGAAAAAATCTCTTCTAAGCCTATGTGAGCAGAAAAGTGAGGCTATCACTTTCAACTTCTCCACTATCTGCACACTGGCAATCCGGCCCTTAAAGAAACACCCATGGGAGACTTTGAGACGCTTGGTGGCGACAAACACACCAGTCCTTTCTTACCAGTTCTGAGCATGCGTGCGTTGTTCTGAGCGTGCATGCTCACATAGTTCTGAGCACGCGCACTACCTTGAAAAGGACTGGTATGTCTGCTGCCACCCTAGCGTCTCAGACGCATGAAGAAAATTTTCCCCCAAATAACTCCACGATGACATCTCGGTAGGCCTAAAGAGATAGCCTTCGAACTGATGAAGTGGAAAATATGCGTATCCAAATAGCAAGTTCATCTGAATAACTGAAACTATATCATTATAAGAAGTGGTCTCTATTGATTCACAGATAAACTCTCAAAGAATGGGGAATTTGTTTATTCAATTATTTGAAACCCATTATAGTTAAATCAGGTTAAAGTGGAAATAAGTGACAAAAAATCTACGGAAAAATGTGACGCATGTCTGAGCAGTTATACCTCATGCCATGATGTGATCTGTACGTCATTTCTAGATACTGCACACAGTGCACGTTATTTCACGCCCGTTAACGTAAGGGGGACAATGAAGGGATCCGCACACGCTTTCCATGACGTACAGCAGCGCCTCGTACTTAGCGGCACTACTACCGACCACTGCCTCGGGCTCCTTGTCCACGCACAAGGCTTCGGTCCGCCCGTGGGTGTAGTGTCCGGCCATGAGGAAACCACTGTACTCTACCCTCCATCCGGTAGGGCAACTGAGCCTGGCCGGGTAAAGCAACTTGGTCTTGCGGACGAGGCGGCACACGGCGCAGGGCACGGCGTGGTTATTCAGATGTTCGGCGTTCTTGTGGGAAAATGGATCGAAATTGCCAACCTGGTACTCCGTCCCATATAAGAATGAGTGTGAGTTGAACCCATCCTTGTGGGAGGCCCACTGAGGATTCTTTGGAAGGCAGATGAAGTCCGATGTGCCACCTTTGTGTGAATAGTGTGACGATGTGGCATAGCCTTTACGAACAAAAATGAAGTAAATTATTAAGTGCAGTCGTAAACACTG